ATTTAATCTAATAATTTATCATACCTCCATCTGTTCCACTAATAACTGTTAAGCATTGATTATCGCTCATATCCAAATGCCTTGCTGCTCCTCGGTTTCTCTTTTATTTTTTCTCTTCAGAATCTTGCTCTGAGGGTGAAGCTATGTAACTTCTGACATCTGGAACAAGCTTGACGAACGCGCTTTCCCAAGGTCATAGCTCGAACCAGGCGCTCCACAAGCCTACTTTATAACAATTATAAACTTAAAAAGCTGCATGACATAAATACTTAGAACTACCGAAACCCTATTACACTTTTTGTCGAAATTGGATCTGGTATATAACGTGGACGCTGTGCCCCTTTGGAAACTATTCTTATGAAAACACATTATATCTGAACGAATAAACTGCTATCAACTTTTATAGATTATAATTACTAAACAAGCTTGCTTGGGATGCATACTGTGAACTGGTATATGTTGTAAATTGTAGATCATGCCTGTAAAAATGGCGTGTACCTGCTAATGCAGAAATATATTATTATTATTATTATTATTATTATTGCAAAAGCAACCATGCTGGCACATCAGGACACCCAAGCACCCATTAGTGTTGCAGTAGACGCATCCGACTTAGCAATCGGAGGAGTCTCACGACAATGGGTTGACCACTCTTGGCAACCTTTAGCATTTTTCTCGTGACGCTTGATAGAAACTGAATCGAATAATAACACTTTCGGTAAGGAACACCTAGTTATTTATTACGGTGTACGGCATATTCAACATTCTACTATAGATCGAGAATTCGCTCTGGTCACCGATCACAAACCTCTTCCTTTCTCTTTACTCTTGTCTTCAGACAAGTACTCACCTCGAGAGTCTCACCAACTGGACTACATTTCGCAGTTTACTTCGGGTATACATCACATTTCTGGAGGAAATAATGTGGTTGTAGATGCCTTGTCTCGTATAAGTTCCTTGAACAGTTTCTAAGGAATCGACCCTTTTAAAATCGCCCAGCTTCTAAATGAAGACACAGATCTTCAGCACGAATTATGATCAACAACCCCTAAACTGCACATTAAGCAGATGGGAAGAGGTAAGTAAACCTTACTATATGACACATCTGCAGGCAGGGATAGCCCAGACATGCCAAAACATTATCGGCGCTACGTCTTCAATACGCTACACAATCTTTCTCATCCAGGTGTCAGTGCATCCATCAAGCTTATAGCCGAACGGTTTCGCTGGTCACGCATGAGTAAAGACGTGAGAGAATGGGCACGGTCCTGTGTAAACTGTCGAAAATCTGAGGTGATTAGACACAACAAATGTCTTTAAGGTTCATTTAAAACTCCTGACGCTCGTTTAGACCATGATCATCTGGATTTGGTAGGACCCTTGCCAGAATCAAGTAGATACACTTATCTTTTAATCTGTGTAGACCGTTTCATTTGATGGTCAGAAGCAGTACCCATTGAAGACATTACTGCTGAAACTGTGGCCCGCACCATCGTCGAACGGTGGGTAGTGAATTTCGGATACGCTTCAACTATCACTACAGACAACGGACGCCAGTTTGAAACTGTACTTTTCCGTTGTCCGACTACACTACTAGGAACCACTCGCTTCCGAACGACCGCCAACCACCCACAAGCAAACGGTTTTGTAGGACGCTTTCACTGACAACTAAAAGCTTCGCTATCAACTGCAAACGTTTCACAGTGGACAGACGCTCTTCCACTCGTCTTGCTAGTATCCGCAAGGCAGTACAAGCTGACACTGGATACACTGTAGTTCAACTCGTTTACGGAACGACACTTCGGTTTCCAGGAGAATTCGTCGATCCTTCACCTTCTTCAGTGAATATGGATCTAAATTCCTACACGAGCAGGCTTACAAATGCAGTGCATTCAGTCAAACGTGTTTCCTCTCGACTGCAATCACCTGATGTATTCGTCCAACCTGACTTACGATATAGTACACATGACTTTGTACAGGCGACTCACATGGATGACTCTCAAATCAGCACACGAAGGACCCCTCAGCCTTCTTCAGCATGAACCCAAGTACTATATAGTAGATACGAACGGAACTAACGATGGCGTCACAATCAATCACATCAAAGGAGTGTATTTAGAAGGAAACTCTATCCGTGAGTCCTACACTTACGATACCGCATCCCATAGCCATCACTCACAATTATACTTTGACAGTATCTGAAAATAGACTCCAAACGACGCGTTGTAGAAGAAGTTTAAGGTTTCTAGAACATTTAAACGATTATTAGATGTGAGAAATTGATTAACATTTGGCTTCACCTCAATTTTTCTTTGTATTATTGCTATAACTTGTGGCCTGGATGCCTTGATAATATACATATAATGGGTATATAATATGAAAAAACCAATTTTATTGTGCTTATATTCATAAATTTATTACAAAAGAAGAAAATGTTTTGCTTATATAATGATAATATAGTCTGAAAATAACAATTACAGAACTCACACCAGTTTACAGGCATGATCAATTTGATATAAATAGCAACATTTCAACAACTAAGCTAGTTAGATTTATGAGTCGATAGTTCTCAGGTTTATGCCTAGTATATGTATCAAGGATACGACTTACTATAGCATTTTTCTAATCTTTTGGTAATAATAATAATAATTGTGGTGGACCAGACAATATATAAAAGCAAAATATACCAACAAAGTTGATAACAACCAATAGTAATATTAATATATACAAGTTAAATGTTACGATTACAATAAATAATGGGACTTTACTTTAGTTCACCCGAAATGATGCGTGTTCGGCTTTGATCTGGTACAATAAATCCACAATTATAGGTGCTTAGTAATTCCAAACGTATCGATGATCTCCCCAGTATTGTAATCCAAAGTAAGATATGATGTATTCACTTTCTCAGTCATGCAACAAATCACAAGAGTAAAACCGTGACTTACTATAGCATTGTTCTAATCTTTTGGTAATCGACCCTGGGTTACAGATAGATTAGAACATATGCTTAAGGGAATCGCGACAAAATTTGCTAATTCCCATAGTAACCTAGGATGCATTTCATCAGGTTCCATGGATCTGCCTAAATCAAGCTCATTTAGCAGACTGAAGACACCGAGTTCCTTAGTAGTCACAGTGTCCAGTGTGTGTATGGGAGGGGTTTTTTATGAACTGAATGACAGAACATCTCTACTGTATACACATTGCCATTAATTTGTGAATACCTGGGCTTTACCCTGATCTACCTTCATTGATCATGCAGTAATACTGTCTCTCTTTAATACCGGAGTATTTCCTCTCACGTCAGTCCTATGGTTTATGTACGAGTAGAGCGTTTGAGGTATTCTTTAGATTCATTGACGAATGTTTCTTTGCACAACCTCCTACACTTGCGGGCAGTCGAGGTATAAATATTTCGGGCTTCTCGATATTTATATTCCGTCTCCTCAGCATCTAGTAACCTAAATCTTTCTTACATTCTCCGCCTCTTGCGAAGGAGGGTGCGAAACTCTTAACTGAATCATGGTGGGAATTTTTCGGTCCTTTTGGTGTAGTCCAAGGAATGCGTGATGAAGTTACTTTTCGATTACAGCTTAAGCCGTTTCGACGAAGGACACTGATCTTATGAACCAATCTACCGAGGAATCTGAGTGTATATTATCTTGTATATTTGCTTTCCAGAAGTTTTGTCTGACTTCGGCTGACACATCCTTGTTACTGACAACTATATGGAAACCAAAGTCTAGAACTTCATGGTCACTTTTACCTGGGAGTGGCATATAATAGAGAATTGCGACATCACCTTTAGCATGGGTCATTATGAGATCTAGTAAGGATGTTTCAGAGTTTGGATGGCACCTAGTTGCCACATTCCCATGCGATAATCGCATCAACTAGTTACTGTTCGGTAGAGCTTTCTTACAATTCAATCCTCAGATTTTCCCAGTCCAGAGTATTTACATTTAGGTCTCCTAAGATTAAACATCGACCGCTCGAGGACCAGGAGTCGAAACTGTCTATCAAGACCGGTATCACCTCTCAGTTTGAACTGTGGTGCGGCAAACCAATTAGCAGCTATTGTCTTTTGCATTTCAAACGGTTAACAATCAAATCACACTTTCTGTGGTGGGGTCTAATTATATGCATATAAGTAGTACATGGCGATGGTCAGACACAGAATGCATTTTGGCAGAAGACCGAAGAGGGAAGAACTGAAATGAAGCACAGTTGGTAGGAAAATGTATGAACAATGGAATTAGAGAAGATGAACTGATATTTACAGAAGAAGCGAAGATTGAAACAACTGATTGTTATCTTGCAAATTAACTGTTAACTATATGTGAGATAGTCTGTAATTTGTGCTTAATTACATTCGATTGTCCCAACCAGTGTTTTCATCACTACAGTTCCAGTTTCGTGGGATATGTTATCAATGACGGTAAACGTGATAGCATTTATGATGAACAGAGCTACTTCTCCTCTTTCACAATCCTGTATTTTGTCGGCTCTTGCTAATACGAAACTTTCAAAATCAATTGTTCTACTGCCCACATACTGTGTCAACCGTGCTTCTGTAACTGCAATTACATCCGACTTGGTGGAGTCTGTCTGTACACATATCTCCGATTGCTTGCAGAGCAAGTTCGGAGTATTTGTGTGACAGATCCCATGACATTTTAAAAGAATTCATGCTGCACCCAAAGTGGCCTCAGAACCTTTATCTGTCGGAGCCTAACCACCTAAAAAATGTACTATCTCCAGGGTCCTTCTGGACATAGTCTAACACTTTAGTGTTCAGCCTTACTCGCATTTTACGCTTAACGAGGAAGTTCTTTGCACTATATATATTTACGAAATGTGAGAAATACAATCTTTTTTTAATAGGGATTTAAGAAAAAGGATATATTTAATATCAACTTTTGAGGGCGTTAATTGGAACACTAAATTTTCCGGCTATTTGAAAACCAGTTTCTGCTCACGTTAATTACAATACATATATGTCTGAGTTTGATCCAGTTTCTGACTTTCTTGCTCGTGAACAGGAAGCCCTTGGGGATTTAGGTGATGATTTCAAGCTAAATGAAGATACCTCAAGTTAGTAATCCACAATTTTGTTCCATTTTGCCTTGTCATCTACATTTGAACTGAACGGACTTCTAGTTTTGTTAATCAGATTTTCACATCTCAGCCATTGCATATGCTAATCCACATATTCATGTCCCTCAAGTGGACCTGCTTCTATTTTAAAATCACAAACTTAACAAAACTTTTGGCCGGAAAGTAATTTTTGTGGGAAGTATACCGTGGTGTAAATTTCAAGATATTTCTCCATAGGGAGGGGTTGAGACACGAATTCTCACTGTCCTCCTCTACTAAGGGACAGATTTGTTCTTAGGGTTGTCGCCTTTATTTCTTTTTGCCTGGCATTCTAATAAACATCGATTCTGAAGCATCGAAATTCAGAATGGATCCACACAACATCCAAAGTTTTTAACTTCTAATGTATGATATATTCCACAAAAAACAGCGGAAGAAAAGCATACGGACGATTTTGAACTGCTCTTTGGAAAGCGAGATAACAGCCTTTGGTTACGAAATGATTTGTTATGTAAAGCGATAAGATTATGATCGACAAAGTTTTAATATAAATAATAAACCCTCGTTCATAAATTTCTGGATTTTTTTTATCACTGGCGTATATAAGTTACCATGCAAAATTTTTTTCTGGCTATCTGGATGGAGGAATTTCGCACTGAAACATATAATCGTTTCACAACTGAAAAAGCAATAGTTGTATAATGTAATAATCATAACTCTCACACGCTTGCAGTATTTTCGCGTACGAGATAACTACTTAATAAACCGTTCTTTCGTCTGAACTTTTACCGTACCCTCCCTATTGCTTCGTTTAGATTCTGGAGTAGCCATTCACTTTTTGTGTAGATAAAATTACATTCAAACCCATTTCATTGTCTTGTATACAGAAAGTTAATGAAATATGTTACCTAGCTTAGTGATTCTCAGGATATGCTGACCTGCAGTTCGGTTATTTCGCAGATATTACTAGCTTCCGGAATTCCTTAATCTTCTAACAGGCACACTGATCTCTTCCAAACAAACAGTCAAGAAGTGTTTACGATCAGCAAATTCAATCTTTTTAGGGGTCTTGATGCTGTTCGATATACTGTTCATATGTGCAAAAGACTTGTCTAACGCATTTTTCGTAGTGATAAAGGTGTGATCAGCGTGCCATAACTAGGTTTAGGTCAGGAAAGCACATTTTGGGGTTGTGTTTATTTCTAATGTGTACCTAAGTATTATTCAAAACAGTTGAGGAAAATGAAAATCTCAGCTTCATTTGTTTACCTGTATAAACGTCGTAATTTAAGTAATGAGCTGTAAATATACCACGGTTAAGCAATCGTGGGGTGTCAAATTTTAAATGCCTGATATGTAACAGTTTTAATAGAAACAAAAGAAAGCTAGGAGCAAAGATTAAAATATGTGTTCTCAAATCCATGTGAATTGGATTGGTGTTTTGAATCAATTTTGATCACAAGTTTCAACTTTTTGTAGTGTTTAAGAACCTCAGCCTAATACTTCGCTAGATAATACGTTGGTGTTTGTTCTGTCAATTGCTAGTGGATTTCCGGTGGTCCATAGTATCTTTAAGGATCAAATTAACTTAATGCATCTGCTAGGTACTTGGCTATGAACCACTTTATGTTTAAGAGCTTATGATACCATCCGTCTACGCGAACTAAGGTAGGTAGAGTGGGATTCAAACATGGGACTGAAATTCGCACGCTTAAATCATAAGACTACCGCTTCAAAGTCTAGTCCACAAGGACTCGTGCTGTTTAAGGTAAGGTAGACCCAAATGGACGGCCTAGTTTCCCCTTCTAAGACTAGTATTTTGATTACACTACCCTTTCATTTGTTCTGTGTGGATTGACATTTGGTTTGTTCTATTCATATTATCCATGAAGAAGATATTCCTTAGCTTCTCCTTCATCGTACTTTATCCTTTATTATTAAACAAATATCTCGAACATCTTTAACGAGCGCCTACTTCAAGGATGCCGTAATTGTCGATTTATGTCTTCCTTTAATCAAACCTAAACTGTTAGAATTGTGCGGAATTTGTAGAATCGAATTGAGAAGCAACGATCTATTTTTGTCCATGTCGTGGATATATTGGTCACACCTTCGTCATCTGCCAAATAATCAGTCGTTTTGTTCCTTGATATCAACTTTCTAGATAAACTTACACCCTAAAATCATCTGTCGAAAATGTGTGCATTTGATGATTTTACTAATATTTTGGAAGCTCTTTGTATAAGTGAAAGCACACAGACACCACTCCCTGTCTTTGTAACTTAGCCAATTGGTTAAGCAGTGTTGTCTGATCTCAGTAGTTTTCAATTTTGTCATCTATGGCGTTCCTGAATCAAGAAGTGGATGGTGGAAGTGTGAATCTGTTATCTAATGAAAAACTTATCTAATTTTAGTATGTAGATGACATTGTTCCACTTTTCTGTGACCCAAATATTACTCATATCCCAATTGGCATTAAAATACTGGACAGCTGTAATCCAAATAAGGTCGGAAGGTTTTCAAAACTCGAACATTCTTGTCATTTGACAATTGATAAACGTATCAAGATATTCACAGCTTATTGGTCAAGGCGAAAAATGATAGGCAACCATAAACCTTTGAGGTTAGGTAAGTTAAAAAGCCAATGAAGCTAATGTTCAGTAACAGCACAATTATTGGCAACAACTAATATAATTTCATGTTAACAGAATAAGCTGTGATTCGCTTGTTGAAAAAAAAATTTGCCAACCTTTCTTAGTTTATACTATTAAAGATGTCTAAGACAATAAAAGGTTCACAAATTAACCATCTAGCTCAAAAGGTGTAACACCTCCATAACTCTTCTTCCAAGCTACAAATCTTTTTCTTCTCACGATGAAAACAAAGTCGAGGCCCAGCAACATGACCAGGAGAAGTGATAATGGTCTTGAAATACCGTTTTATATGGGGTGCAGATATCTTACGAATGTCCTCAACATCAATTACAAAAGTTGTAGTCATTGGTTAGCGTAATAGAAGCAGTTTGCTAGAAATAAAGGCTGACAAATCATATGTCAATCCCGTTTAGCCATTTGTAGCTGATTGACTGACTATCGCCATTTAGCCTTGGTGGATGTAGTGTAAGGGTCCACGTGATAACTGCTTTCAGGGCTTGAAAACTTTGTGTTACATGACTCATAATCGTTCATAATAACGCAGATGCATCGAATCTTTATCTTAAATTCCAATATCCTCCCACACATACCTTTCCACTTTGTTCTTTCCAAACCGTATTCCCAAGGTTAATTATTTCTTTCTATTATTATTACCGCTTTGCTCCAATCGTAGAAATATACAACATCAAATTTTTTGTCGACAATTTTATGTTCCCCCTTTTTCGTTAGTTTCATCGTTGTGCCATACAAATGTTCTCTCATTGTTTTGATGCGAAATTAGGTTGTGCAGCTTAATTCTTCGGCTCTTGATGAATAAGCTAAGGTTTAATCTTCAATTTACCTACTTCACTTTTGGTAGTTTGTTAATTTGATTAGCCTGTACAAAGCGTACATCGAAGTCGAAATATCAGTCCAGGCTATTGTAGTGACATAAAAAGAGCTGCGTGTATGGGACTGCACGAAACCACTAATGTAATCTAAGCTATGCTGAGAAATATAGGTATATTTTTGTCCTATTATAGATGTTGGTGTGTAGGGACATAACTTACGCTTGTTATCCCTTGTGAAGCATATGTCGCCAACCAGGATCCTCCAACCAGCTGTGTCCTGGGCAATCCTTTCTAGTTGCTATCCATCCTTTTGATATCTGCTTCCAATTCTCGACGCAATGTGCTCTTTGACCTTCCTCTTTTCGTTCCCCTTCAGGATTTCGAGTTAAGGCTTGCCTCGTGATGCAGCTTGATGATTTCCTCAATGTGTGTCCTATGCGATTCTATCGACTTCTCCTAATTTCCACCTCATCTAAAAGCTGGTTTGTGCTCTCCCACAGTAGGCTGTTGCTGATGGTATCCGAACAACGGACATTGAGCATCTTGCGTAAACAACTGTTTGTAAATACTTGTACTTTTTTGATGATGGTTGTAATAGCTCTCCAAGTTGCAGTTCCGTACAACAAGACTGTCTCGACGCTCGTATTGATATGACATGAGAGTATAAATTAACTGTTTAGTTTACATCCCTATCGCACCATATGCCTGAAAAACTAAATGCCTGTGTATTAGAAGCACAGGATTTTGAAGTTTTAATTATCGATACTTGTCGCTAGTTTCAGTTAACTTTTATGTCACTATGTGCACGTGAAAGCCGGTAATAATAATATTTAATGCACAGTAGATACTTTCATAAGTTTCAATCATTATAAGTGTATGGCGTAATATTTTAAAAATTTCGTTAGTCAAAATGAATTCTTAGTGATTTTCATACTATGAGTCCCGTCACTTTTTACTACAAGTTAAAGTATTCCCAAAATTTACTTTATACTTGGTTCATATTAATCAATGATCCTCAGTAACCATCTTTAAGTTTCCTATGAAGTCAAAAATACATAGCATAAATTTAATAACTATTTTTCTATATGTAGCCCGGTTAAGATCTACAATATAATTAGCATATGATGCCAAATGTTGTGGTTGGAGTACTTTATGTCACCTTTAAAATGTTCGTTCAGTTGTCATAGAGGATATTATTAATTGATGAGCCGATTTTAAGCAGTGAAATCAAAATGTTTATCAATAGATGAAATACAACGATACGAAGTTTAGTCAAGTGATAACTGTTCACGAGATCGAATTGTTGTCTCAAACCTCGTTATAAAATAATACCCAAAAAGATCACTAGTCAAAATAATAGGTTTTTTGTTGAAAACAGCATTAGGATACTCATCCATAAATTATTAATACACAATAAACATAATTAAATGTTATAAAAAACACAAGGAAATCAGTATATTGTTTAGATGCAGAGTACTAGTATGACAAGTCAGCTGAATAGGGAGTGACGTTTTATCGACTGATATGTTTAGGATATTACGTAAACCCATCCGTCGACTACCTCTATGCGTAATGGTGGCTTATGTAGGAGAAAGGTCGGAAAAAGCCAATGGCGTCCAAACCAAGAAGTGACATCAGTTTGCGAAGACAATGACTATTGGAACAAACCACATAGGTAGGTTCAGACTACGTGGTGTGTGTCCATGTGATTATGGTGACTAGTGGTTAAAGACTTGAATGACCTGGCTTAAAATCACTCGTAATTGCTCAGGTGCATTCACCCTTTGTCCTCACATAGTTTTTAAATTCCTCATCAATTCTTTTCATTATTTCACTAACTTACATTTTCTTAAATTGTATCTTAAATGCCTAATCTTTTCAATTACCATTGAAACTGTTACTACATGTACTACTCTGAGATTAACCCTGATAATTTCATCTTGGCGTGCTGATGAGGTATGGCAACTCGAACCTATATAAACATATTCAAGTCCTACATCCCTTATGTCTAACTGACTGACCTTACGCTTCAATGACTTAATTGCTGTAGACTTAATTTTTTTCCACGATATTAGTATTTCAAATTTTTATCGTGAAATTTCAACATGTCTGTTACATTTACCACAGTGTATAGTTAGCCCACATTTTTTATGTTTTATAAACTAATTAATTGATCCTCCCATCATTTTTTAATTTGACAGCTTTCTCACTGAATAATTTAGATACCGAGGTTCGCTCAGGTGAACCAGTCTCTGATGCTAGTTATGTATTTCTTAATGGACAATCGACAATGAATGGCTCTCATTTTGACCATAATTTGACTGAACCTGATTGTAGAGCTAACAACTGTGTTCATGATTTCGATACAATTGTATCATCTGACAGTAATGTTGGTGGGACCGAGTCTTGGCGGGAGGAGTTCGAAAAAAGAATTAAAGCCAAAGATACTGAAGAAGAAAAAAAATGTGCTGAGTTGATGGAAACAGGAAAAAAGGTCATTTATCAGATAATCAGTTTCTTTTTGATAATCTGTTACATTTTTTTGTCCATTTCTTTTGGGTCTTAATTATATCTGGTTTCCTGACATTAATGAGTGGCTTGTATACATCAACCACAGAAAAGTGGGTCTTTTTTATCGTAGTTTCTAGACGAGTGCTGACTACTGTTAAGTTTGGTAAATTTGACTGGGATGACTACGAGCTACGTGAGTTATATCTGTCTATTTTACTGAGATATACCTGTTAATCACTGATATTCTTCGATATCAAAATATCCAATGGTAAAGATAGAGGATCAGAAGTAATGAACGTCTTATTAATGAGGATCGTATTCTAAAATGGCCCCGGTTCTTTTGTGTTCATTTGTGTGCTATAGTATGATGCTATTATGATGTTTCCTTTAAGACAACCAGTTTCTCTTAGTTTAACGAAAAGTGATTTTAATAGTACCCTTCAACCCCCTATATTTGACTGTCCCAAAAATCATTTGGGTCTAAACAAAACTGCCTCGTACCCAATATAAAAAAGTAGTACTTGACTATTAACACTGTTTCATCCCGGATACAGCCTAATGATTAAAACTGTGGTGTTTCAGACCAGTGCTAACCACTAGTGGTCATGAATAGCCTACATTAGTCACTACTGAGTATGGTTAGTTAAGGATTATCATTAAGTGCGAAGTTCTTTCCAATCCTTATATAGTCCAACCATTATTCTAGTAGTTTGTGCTACTTTGTCCTATTACTATCCTTCATACAAAAAGGGTAGCTGACAGTAGATTCTATAAATCTACATTGGGTTATCGCGTTTTAGCACGTTTTAGACTCGTAGTACACGTAGACTTAGTCATTTCCATGTTTTTACTTGAAATAGAAGGCAAACCTGAAAACCTTTGATTTAAATCATATTCTAAAAATTTATCAAAACACGTAATTAAATATTTTTGTACTAGTTTGTAATGCATGTTCATGTTTTTTATCGAGCTATTGGCACGCTTTTTAAATTATTACAATTGTGTGCTTAGTTCTCATATGATTGCACAATTGTTCGTCCATTGTCGTATCGTGGTCAGTTTGGAAGAATTAAAATACCAGTCTAGTAGAATCGCTAATTCATATTCGGTTACAGCAATAGGTTTGTATAAGTTGATTATCGTTTAATTAAAGCTTTCAAGTGTTTTTGTTACTTCTGTTTATATATATATATATATATATATATATATATATACTTACTTTCGCCTGTTACTCCCAATACAGCATAGGCCGCCGACCAGTATTCTCCAACCCACTCTGTCCTGGGCCTTCTTTTCTAGTTCTATCCAGTTCTTGTTCATTCTTCTCATGTCTATCTCTATTTCTCGGCGTAATGTGTTCTTTGGTCTTCCTCTTCTCCTTTGACCTTCAGGATTCCATGTGAGGGCTTGTCTTGTGACTCAATTGGGTGATTTCCTCAAAGTGTGCCCTATCCACTTCCAGCACTTCCTCCTGATTTCTTCCTCCGCTGGAATCTGATTTGTTGTCTCCCACAATAACTTGTTGCTGATAGTGTCTGGTCATCTGATCCGAAGTATCTTGTGAAAACAGCTGTTAATAAACACTTGTATCTTCTGGTTGATGGCTTTCGTAGTTCTCCACGTCTCCGCCCCATACAATAGAACTGTCTTGACATTTGTATTGAAAATTATAACATTGGTGTTGGTTGACAATTGTTTTGAGCTCCAGATGTTTTTCAGTTGTAATTATGCTGCTCTTGCTTTGCCGATCCTCGCCCTCACATCTACATCTGATCCACCGTGTTCATCAATGATGCTGCCCAGATACGTAAAGGTTTCCACATCCTCCAAAGCTTCTCCGTCAAGTGTAATTTGATTGGTGCATATTGTATTGTATCGGAGAGTCTTGCTTTTCTCTTTGTTTATATTTAGATCTACTGCTGCTGCTACACTGGTCGTTTTCTCCTGCATTTGTTGTTGCGTTTGTGATAGATGAGCCAGATCATCCGCGAAGTCTAAATCGTCAAGCTGCATCCTGCCTGTCCACTGTATCCCGTGCTTTCCTCCAGTCGTTGACATATATATATATATATATTGGTACAAAGGGGCACCAGATATATATGCGCCGCACAAATCTCATTTGATTTGTGTGAGGTCTGTGATACTGCTCGGGTGCCCAGACCGAAGCAGGTGGTTTTCTTAGGTGCCACATTCGGAGCCTTTGACCTAAAGGTCTGATCCACAAGGCAGTGGAGCATCGTGAGAAGATGCAGTCCCATGGTAGCCGGTGACCAACGATTGGTTCATACGACGTCTGTTTCCTCAGGATACTGGAGCCCATGTGAACCATTTGTTTGGAATCAGGGTTTTCCAACTCCCCTGGGTGAACTCTTCGTGTCCACCAACCCTTCTAAAGCACCGGCCATCCGCTTTTCGTTCTGTCAATTTCGTAAACAACAGTTATGCTACGAGAAGGCAGTAAGTAGGACTTCCCTGGCAGAGGCTATATATTTACTTCTGATGTTCAATAATTCACCAATCTATTGCTAAATTTTAATCTGATTGTTAAAATACTTTATGTCAATCATCGTTTATTGCTTTTTTAATATTTCATAGGAGTTAAATGATTGGTACAAAAATTATCACCAGAAATTAGAAACAAGATCTCGTGAATTGCGTGAGAAAAAACATGATTCAAATGGTCATTGCATGAATGGGGATGGTAGTAAGCCATCTGTGAAAGATACAGCCGTTTGGGAGAGTATTTGCAATTTATGTGATTTTCAAGTATGCGTTTAAAATATCATTTAATTTGATTATGTAGCCTGTTAAAATTTTTTTGTTAATTTCTTTTCATTTAAGATAAATCGGAGCTTTCACAGTTAGAAAAAGCACATTAGGTAAAAGCGTTGGTTACACAAGACTCGATAAATAATCATTGGATTTTAAGTGTTTGGATCCTGCCCTATTTATTTTGATCAGAGCAAACCCACTCGTGTTATAGCTTAAAATCATTGGTTCATAGTCTTGAATTATATCCGTCATTTTGCTTAATTCAGTATCTGGTTAAAATGATCTGTAAAAGAAACGATAGAAAACCCCGTCGAATATCAGTATGAGTTCATTTGTTTTTTAATTATGAAATACTTAAATCTCAATGCAACTAAGTAAATAGTACTTAGGTGTTCCCATGTTTTAGATATGTTAAGTAACTTGGCATTGAGTTGTTCTCTTATTTCATTTTAAGGCTTCATTAACTGTCTTGAACACACCTTAAATTTTGTAACTAGATCATATTTTCATTCCACCTGTAGCCCCTCTGGGGGCTACTGCCTGTCCCAAGTCCGGATAAAGGAGGAGGGTTGTGCATGGGGTTAGCGACCCGATCTCGTAGAAAACTAACTCGGTAAAAAAACGCTAACTTAAATATGTACTTCTAGTCAATATATCATTGTCAAATGCGGAAATATTCATGGTTTTGTTTGTATGCGTAAGTGAAGCGTCGATCAATTATATCAGTTACTTTATTATAAATTATACAATCTACAGAGTTTTATGTATAGGGCTGTACATAATGAAAAAAACCGAGGTTACACGAATGAACCTTATATAATTTGTTATGGTTTCGGAGTTTTGTTCATTTGATTTTTTTCTAAATTGTTCACTTATTTGATTGTTAAAACTATGAAACTTAATCGACTAAAGTGATTATGACACGCATTAGATTATGCTTAACACTCCCCTACCTAGCGACATACATTACTAGTTGGTATTCGAATTGATCAAAGGAAGACTAGTGCCGGAAAGATCAAAAAATGAGGTCATTCCATAAATTCTCTAATTTATACTCATTTTCCTTTGCTATCTTTCACTGTTATAACGATATGATACAATGTACTTTAATTCTAGTAAATTAGAATAGTTGTCACGTATCGCTTACAGCTGATTAGTAGACAGTTGCTATTTTAATGACGCAATGCCTAAGGAAAAAATGATTGAGTTTGTTCTGTTGATGATTTATTGAAAAGTGAAATCTATTTCGTCAGCTTCAAACAAACAGCATATGTACAGTCATAAATATCTAAATCTTCATTTTCCTTTTCCCATAAGGTTTAGGTGTTCTTCATATTTGGTCTCGGAGTACTTAAACGATATGCCTAGTTGACAACTGAAATCTTTGTAATGTTAAAATATGAAGGTGTGTTCTATATGGGGATTTACTTTCAGCAATCTTCCAAGTTCCCTTAAGAGTTGTACTTTGTTAAATCCAATTTATTTATTGTTAGTATTCGAAGCAGCACCTACAGACCTTCCCATGGATATCACCCCACCAACAATCGAATAAATCAGCACGGCTATCAAACAACCCAAGAGTGGAAAAGCGGGAGGACCACATAACATACCAGCTGAATCACTGGAGTCAGACAAGAATGCTCAGCATTCCATTCAGGGAGATTTGAGAGGAAGAACAAGTGCCCACAGACTGCAAAGACGGACATCTCATACAGATACCAAAGAAAGGAGATCTGAGCAAGTGTGAGAACTATACAGGCATCGCATTACTGTCAGTACCAGGAAAGGTCTTCAACAGAGTGTTGCTGAACCTGATGAAAGACTCAGTAGACACCTAAGTACGAGATTAACAGATTGGAATCCATAAAGGTCGATCGTACCTAGACCAAATAGAATCCTTGTTTAGCAATCTATCAAATGGAACCCATCAATGTACATCAACTTCCTGGGCTATGGGAAAGCATTTGACAGTGTGGATAGGCTGATCTTATAGAACATTGTTCGACACTATGGTGTACCTGAGAAAATCGTCAACATCATACGGAATTCATACGACGGACTACACTGCAAAGTGGTGCATGGAAGACAGTTGACCAATGGATTCGAAATGAAAACTGGTGTTAAACAAGGCTGCTTACTCTCACCCTTCTTCTTTCTTCTAGTGGTTGGCTGGCTTATGAAAACCTACACATCTGACGGGAATCATGGAATACAGTGGGCAGTTTGGATGCATGTTGATGGCACGCAGACGATCTAGTCCTTCTATCCCATACTGAATCAATAGGCCTCAGTATACACAAAGGAAAAAGCAAGATCCTGAAATACAGCACAGTGACCACCAACCTGAGTCCAGGACAGTGTAAGTTGGAGGTTGCTGGTTGGTGGTCTATTCTCCACGAGGGTTAACAGGGGTAAGTGAGTAAGTAATTAGATGGTGGTTGGAGGTAGTCGACAGTAAATCCTGGATCTAGGTTTTGTGCTACTTGGCACTTGTCACCAAGGTGTACCTGTAATTTTGCGGGAAGAATCACTTCCTTCAAGATTGCATGTACACCTTGCTAACGCGTGCCAAGTATCACGAAACCTAGATCCAGGGTTTCCTATCGACTACTTCCAACCACCATCTTATCTCAACATAGTGCATGCAATATCTAGTCACCTAGACTGGTGGCCACATTATAACTTGGTCGATAGGATTCAATCTACACTAAGAAGGACCTGACACACATTACATTGATCACCACTTAATGATCAATCAATTGTAAGTAATATCGATATATGTTAACAAAAGACATAACGTGGTATACATTGCTTTTTTTAAATAAGCCTTCTCAATGAATATAATTATGTTAACTCCATATTTATTTCATCCTCAGATTTTTTTCATGTTCATTTCCCTCTTCCGTTTTTTTCTTTTTCATTTTTTCAGTCCAAACAAAAAACTGCAATTGATACGTCAAGAATGCGTGGTATCTTACTCTCTCTTAAACCAAACAATTAATATCAACCATTCATGGAATATCAATGGAAATCAATTTGTGTGCCTATACCTTGTTTTACTATCTTCTTTTATCTTTTTTCAATATAATATAGACAAGTATAATTTCTATATTATAAATAGGAAGAAAGTGCCTTGTTAAATGTTTGAAATATGTATTTTTCTTTCATTCAAATTAATTATTGACCATTGAATAACTCCATTAATTTCATATTGGTTCTGTTCATAAAAACATGACAGTACATCTTTTTTTTTTGGTTTTTCTCTCTCTTTTGATAAACAAAAATAAAGTGGTTTTTGTCTATTTTTTAAAGTGATAATGATTCTCTATTAGGGTTATACATTACGTCATCAATGTTTGGTTGTGCCAGTTATTTTTTTTTCTTTTAAGGAAAACATATAAATGAGTTTTTGGGTTTTTACATCGTATATTTTTTATAAATGATGAACAGTTCTACCATCTATCTGTTCATTTGTGTTTTTTTTTTGCCTTAACCTGATATATATTCAGAACCATAGGTGTTTGGAATTACTATTTGTGTCAGTGTTTGTTACTTTACTCTGTTGGTATGTTTGTTTGAAAAAAATGCGAGTGATTTTGTTTGTTTGTTTGTGTTTGTGTGTGCCCGGGTTTGTGTGTTGTACCTTCATATTTATATTTTTTTTCTTGACAATTCATACTGTGAATAAATAAATGACTTCATTGATACTTGTTGTTTTCATTGTCTTTTATCGTTAATGTTTTGAGAAGATATACGTTTATGTATGTTTGTATTTGGTGTTTGTTTGTGTGTGTGGGTTATTGTATTTGTAATTGGTTGGGTATCTTGGACTTCTGTCAATTCTACGGCCATGAGTTTTTTTTAAAATTTTATGTTCAGATTTATATATAACGGCTTATATATATATATATATATATATATATATATATATTCAAGTTCACCTACCAAGTACCGGTTTATATACTCAACTGTTAATCATATTATATTAGTAGGGGTTAGTGATATTATATTACTCAGCTGCTAAAAATCTAGATATGTATAGCGGGATTTTATTGTGTCACCTACTGGTTGATTAGTCGTTTGCTTTAAACACTATGCCACAATATTATTAACTAATTTATCACTAAGTAGTAATCAATGCAATGTCTCATGTAGTGATCTAATTCTACTTGATTTATGTACAAAATATTAGCCACTTGGTTAATTGATTCAATGTCACAATGGACATCATTGGATATTAGGTTAAAGGTGGTGGGAAATGACGATATGATCTGAGTCTAGATTGCACACTTAATACAATAAGGTATATCTGCAATACTCAGGAAGTTTATGCTCTCATTGGTGCTCGCCTCCACACCAAATATATATTATTCCTTTGAATACATCTTTTTTCAGTGAGTCTATATTCAATATTGTATAGTCGTACTTATACACATACATATTTCTCTTAATCCTGTAAACTAACTAATTTTGTGAAAATGTTAGTATAGCGAGTTTTATCATAAATTTGTTACAGATTTTTAACTATCAATGGCTTAATTTAGTACATTTTACGGAATAGTTAATGTAGTCGGTGTTTTTTTTCTAAGTTACGATTGTTAAACAGATGCTCTCGCATACCCTTGTAAACAACACCTACATTTACTCTGGCTAAGCTAAAACGTATCTGTGCTTTACTTTTCTTAAACATCCCTTCTACAATTATATATATATATATATAGCCAACGGCAAAATTACCGAGTATTGGTTAAGGAGACAATTATTTTAATAAATACAGAACGTAAGACCAATCAATGCATTAATTCTTTTAAAAGACTGACACATCTCAAAACTTTGTTATTTAACACATCCCACACTCCTTCCATCTATTAAGCTATAGGTTCGAACTCCGAGTTACTTCTTTTTTTGGTCTGCAACCTTACACCCAATACTTGACTCAAAGCTAAGCACATGAATTTGTCAGTTGGTTAATGAATTATGTTTACGCACCTTATGGTCGATGTCATCGTTATTCTCCTATTGTCAATAGATCATCCACGCATTCGTATAACATTAAAAAAAATAATTGGATACAGTTGTGAAATAAATTTCACTGTGATCTGCTCACTGTTCTTACTAATGGATAATAACTTCTATATATATTATCAAGATCACGAACCAATTCAAGCTAGACAACCATCGTGAACTCTAGAAGCACTGGAAGGTCGTTTCTTCTTAGTATGGGACTCCTCAATCACCTACAGTCACATCATAGCGGGTTCTGACCCTGGACTTTCGGTCTCACATGCGATCGCCTAACCCGTAGATCGTTTAGTCAGAATCCATTAGTATGCAAGTGTAACTTCAATCAATCCAAGATATTACGTGATAATCTTTCATTGTTTTAGGTTAGTGTCTTTCTCACACCTGACACAGTTAAACTTCACTAGTCACGATTTCTTTCTAGAACTCCAGAAGTCTTTCAAAACTAGTTACTAATGAGCACTCAATAATTGTCGGTATGTGATTGTATAGATTATTGAATTTTATTAAGATCATGATGCTATTTAAGTTGGATAATTTTTCGCTTTCAATACAGTTTACACAAAATAAGTCATCTTTTAACTAAACTAATGCATATATATATATATATATATATATATATATATATATAAACTATTCTTGGCTGTTGAAAGATAATTTTTATGAAGAAAGCAAAAGCTATTACTGATTATACTTGGTTAAAGCAACGTAATATTATAACTGAGCAATTTTCTATTTTACGGTTCATTCACTGGAAACTTTTCATGTAGCCTTTTTGTTAAGCTATTTGAAATCTAAATACACTATGAATTATATACACTAGTACAATTTACTACTGTATTACATACACATTTAAGTATATCAGTTCATTGTTCGTTTTTTTCTCTTGTTATGTTCAAGCCTTTATTAATTAAGGTCATCCAGCTACACCAGTTCGTTTTTTGTAAGCACCTCATATATATTGGGTCTTGACTTTTATGGTCTTACAGCTCCATATACTCATCTTTGAGCTACATTTTTATTTTATACTTAATTTTCGAGACCTAAGCATATCTAACCTATTTTATATCTGCAAAACAACAGTTTAAATTGATAGTCCACACTGTTTGCACACGTTTATTGTTACTATTAGCAAAGTAGTAATCATCATCATACGCAACTTAGAACTGGATACATATGTGGATCGATTCAAGTTTCCATAACTCATGAACGCATCAAGGTAAAATTATTTCAAGACAAGTCCTAGAGTAGTAGAAGTAGTAACAGTATTAGCAGTAGCATGTGAAAATTAGGTATAGGAAAGAGTTTTAGGGAGATTTCGGGACTCAGATTCTGAAGCGAGACAGGGAGTGAATGCACCTTCACAACTGCAAAGGATTATGAACAATGTCATCCAACTTTCTCTAACCATTTGTTATGATAATCGCCTGAATTTCAACCAAGGTAATCGACATCTATTAACATCACTCATAAATACATAACTAATAGTAATTGAATATACTTCTTAGTTGTTAAATCACTGAGGTGAAAATTCTTATTTACAGAAAGGTAAATAGAATAGAGAAATATTTTTTAAAATTCATTTGTCGTCATTAAGACTATACTGATGATAGTGAAGTCAACACTAATCAGATTATAGCATATTATCTAGCAATGCTACAAATTCCTATGTTGTTTAAAAATAGTGCTGATTAAATAACAGTAATTATAAAGTGTAAATGGTTGGGATAACTTTAATACTCAAAGATATTGATTAATAAATGAATTAGAGCATTCAGTACTACAGTATCGATAGAATACATAATAATTGCTATGCGTTTGATACGAAGTTGAATGATAATAATATCGGTTATGATGAGAACGTTGACAAAAGAGGTCGTAAATCACTTCAGTATCTACTATTTTTACGATCAAGGTACGAAGAAACTGGTTTTTCAAAAAATTTTATAAACACATATCCCATCTTGAGTTTTACTAATCACATCATTTTAATAGTTGAGATCATGAGTCAATTGAAGCTAGACCACCATGTAAAACCTGGAAGCACTAGACGACCGTGACCAGTGGAGTTCAACCAGGTCTGCTGTGAGATAGTAACTCACTGAAGATATTGGGGGATGTGTCGCTCAATTTCGTGGATTAGTTGAAGTTAGATATTAACACCGTTGGATGCCACCTCAGTGGTTTAGTGGTTAAACGTTCGCGCGCGAGACTGATAGATCCTGGGCTTAAATCTCGCGAGGCGGGATCGTGGATGTGTACTTCTGAGAAGTTCAGCAATAGGACGAAACGGGCGTCCAGTACTTCCTGGTTTTCTATGGTGGTCTCACTTCAATTGACTCATGGTCTCAACTGTTAAAATTACTGTAATGTGTACACAAAACCCCTTCTGACATATGATTATTGTCAAACGTTTTAATGTAGAGTTTTGATCAAAAACTAATTTGATCAACAGTTAACATGTGTTTAAGTGATGAGTGATATGTTCTAAATGTATAACTGACACATTATATTTATTAAATATTTGTAGACTTTTAGGAAAAAATTTAATGCTAACAACTAAGCTAGATCTGATATAACTGCTGAGTTTAATTTCAGTGCAATTAGTTTCCCAATAAATTACATGTATTCTTTTCATCCAAAACTTTCCGAATAGTCGGTTCCAACTGTTGTCTTTCTTAAAATCACGAGATCTTAAACATGTATATACGTATCTTGAAAAGATGTTTTCATATCTTTAGTACCAATACATTCGAAGTCTGTATATATTATGTTCGGAATTGTTTGATCCAATATGTTTCAACTAGCTTTAATTCAGTGGTTTAAATAATAGAGTTATAACAATTGGACTTCTAGTTTGAACCCCCTGTTCGACTTATATCGGTTTTCGGATATAAAGGTTTGTATTTTTTTATTACAACAAAAACAATTCATAATTGTATGTACATCTCTGTGTTTGTGAAAATTCGCTCATGTTAT